GACACAAAGGTAACGCCAGAGAAACCAGCCATACGCGACGCGTGAAGAAGTTAAGCAGTCATCTGCTAATATTTTCTGCTCTCCTTAGGCCCGATTAAAAGACAGCAGAGTGACGCCGCATTTATTTCTAAGATGACTACTACTACCAATTTCAGAAAACGAAACAACCCACTACTGATCCGAAACGGACTTTCTCCAGACTGCTACCAAAATCTGCCCTATAAACGAAATTTGCTACACCGAATTATAAAGGACCCACCCAATCTAAATCTAATACATAAATATATATTATTTGTGTATACCTTATACTCAGTTCGTTTCAATTCCAATGTTTCCGATAAATAATACCAAGAAACTCTGGCAGATAGTAACGAGGAAACACACAGCTAATTTTTTAAAAAATAAGGAATTTACGAATTTATTCGCTTGAAGTTGTGTCAGTAGCTCGTTTCAAGAAAATAAATCAGAATTTTTTAAAGTCCGCAGTTTCAAAAGGTTCATACAACAGATTAAATGATCTGACACAAAATAATATTAAAAAATGTTAAAAGAAATGTGAGTTCGTTATTCACAGAAGGGTTTTACGTTTGTGTACGTTCAAAAGTAGACGAAAAGAGATAGTTTGAAATACTTAGCCTTCTTGGATTGTTAAAATAAAGTTCTTTGAAATGCCAAATGCTTGGTTAAAGTCAATAATATAATTGGCTAGTAATTTGGCAATGAGGAAAACCAGAACGCTGGACGCGTGAACAGAAATGAAACTTTTCACATGATTTCAGATACTTTTGTTAATTTTCCTTATTTTATATAAAAAAAATTTTCGAATAGTCTCGCTATTTTTTTTTCTTGGCTCAGCGGCTAATTTCTGTGAAGACAAGGTTTTCATTGGTCCAAAAGCAATAGATATTCCTTTTGTTTTGAAGTCCAAAATGTATCACTAGGTACCGTCGAATCTTTTATTTTGAGCCTTCGGTCACTAGAAATGGTGACCAATTCTTCGTCACACAACTGAAGTCCAATATTAGAAGGAATATTTATGAAGGGATTTCGAATCGGCACGGCGGTTGAGAATCACTGCCCTAACGTAAGTAAACGATAGCTTAAAAAAATAAATAAATGACTTAATAAATAAATTAATAAAAATAAAATAAAAGTTCATCTAAATGAGTTAACTCTTGATAGTTTTAAAAAATATTTACAATTCATCCGAACTCATTTTTTTCAACTTTCAACCAAAATATAATTGGAAAAATAAATTGCAAAATTGTGTGTGTGTGTGTGTGTGTACACGCGCGTGTAGAATGGAGTGGTGTGGGTGCTTCTTTTCTATTTCGTTGAAGATGATGAACAGCTGTAAAGTCTAAAAAAAAAATTGATGACATTAAAATGCATGGATTTTTCACACAGTATTCTCCCAGTTTATCGTTTTTATATAAGATTTGAGGAAAATACTTTTATCAACAGGATATGGTCGTCAGCAAAACTCGAAGTATTGTCGCAAATGGCTGTAGATGATACAGAAGCATCAGTTGAGAAGTCTCAAACAAATGTTGCAACGGTTGACCTTTCCATGATTTTGGTAAGGTCAATAATGCTACATCTATAATGGGTTTACATTACATAGAAAAACACGGTTCGACATTCAACAGCTCGGTTTTTAAATAGAGAAGTATTAATGATTTAAGCTTATGTGTCGGGGGTGTTAGTGTTGTGTGTTTGTGTGCACACGCGCGTCTTGTTGAGTATTTTCATTCAAACTAAAAAAAAACTATTTCTTTCGTTAAACATAACACGAGGGTAACAACCTTGGTGTCTAGATAATGTTGCATTAAGTAAATGGCGGCGTTTATTATAAAAACTAACTGAATCATTTCGCTAAATGCTCATCTAGAATTGCTTTAAGCAGTCAATTAAACTGGTTAATTAATGTTTATTCTAGGGTAATGTAAATTTAAGTAAACCATAATTAGGTTTTATTTTTTTTATTATCGGCATTAGACATCACTTGATAAATTACTTTTAATAAACGCCGATAGAAGATTCTATATTTTGAAAATCGTTGTCGTGCATTTTTAAGTGCATTAGCAGAGATGGAACAAATGTGAACGACATGCAACTGTCATTACCTTCCATCTAGAATCTTGTTGAAAGTTCGCTACCAACACGGTTTCACACACAACATCCGGGGTGTAATGACCCAATGGTTAAGAGAGCGGAAAATTATGCCGAGAAAACGATTTCAAATCTGAGTGCTAGTCATAGGTTCGTTTTTGTGCTAATGACTTCTTAGAATGCATCAGCTCAGTCTGATGCTGTCAGCCATTTGACAGACTTTTCATTCTTCTCGTGATAGAGGGTGTTGCTGCACAAGGTCTCCTGGCTATAATCCAATAGCACAGACACCGACATTTGAAAAAGAAACAAACAAGCTTAACGGTTAGGCGGAAAAAAGATTCTGAAAAAAAATAAATAAATAAAAAGGAGAGAAAAAAAGAAAAGAAAAGAAATTGTTAGCATTAGTAAAGAGAATTTGAGCAAAAGCAGTGTTTTTGTTTAATCCTACCCATGTACATTTGAACCTGTGGTAAAAACGGCCAAGATATTTTAATCCTTTCTGTATTCGCCGAGGAATATGATGTTGTTCTAACTACAGGGTGATTGAAAAGTAACTCCTTATTTTATGTATGATGGACTCTCCAGTCTTGTATAAATTATTGTTAAACGGGAGAGTCAGTCATACATAAAATAGGGAGTTACTTTTCAATCACCCTGTAGTATGTCGATTTTCCAATATATATATATCTCAGCACTTCTTTAAACACAAAAATAACAAAGGGACTCTTAGTGTGGAATTGAGACAAAAGGAAAATATTTATTTACAATATTTTATATGAAAAAAAGTCATCTGAAATGTCTTCGCTGTAGAAAGAAGAAAAAGGGTCGTGTTTTTTGTTCACATCAATGTTCATACTAGCAAACAATTCTAATATATAAAAATCTTCCATCGGTTTTGAGAATTATATTAAGATCTAATTTTTATTTACATTATTTAGTTGAGCTAATATCCTTATCCTTCTTGTTGTTATGTTTTGGCCGCTGAGGCCTTCTGACCATCATGTGTCAATCTGGGTAACCTTCAAGATATTTTGAACACTTTATTTAATCTACTAGAATAGAAAGAGAAGAGGTAGCGGAAGGAGGTAAGTTTGACAGCAGTGAAGAAGGCAATAAGAACATTAAGGTTCCAAGTTCTAGCTCTAGTTTTTTGAGTAATAAATGCAACAATATCATTTCCACTTCACACCATAAAATGATATTTATTTTAGAAAAAACAGAAATATTTCATTTTTGTTAGTGATTCATCTTATGTGACTAGTAGCAATATTAAAAAATGCAACAACTGTTGGAAGCCATTTTAAAATTTAGTTAAATAAAGGTTAATGCTGAGTAAATAGAATCCTTGAACATTCCATACTGTAAAAGTGCTTTTTAATAAACAGAGAAGTTTAGCAATTAATCCCTGAATATTGTGAAGGAATTCATTTCATGTTAGATGTGTAAAGCTATTCTCAGTGAATGAGTCAAAACAATGAAACCATATTTTTGTCTCGTATATGTTTTAATATTAGAAATTTAGCTATTAGTGAATTTTGGTCTGAAAGTGCTACTGTCTGATTAATAGTCACAACTTTTTTTTAAAAATTGGTATCACCCCATGCAAGGCAGTAAAGCCACTAAGAAAGAAGGGGTTACAGGGTGTGGAAGCATTAGGAACAGAAACATTAATAATGAGTAGGAAGAGAGTAATCAGAAGGACAATAGATAGCGATTGACATTGCATTTAAATTTTTGCAAATTAAAGTTGGTTGGAAAGCATGGAACTGGAAGTGAGTTTCACAAGCGAGAAGTGCGAGAAAAGAAACTGTTATCATAGAATTTATGGTTACATCTAGCTAACTTGACTGTAAATTGACAAGATCTTGGTGTCAGTCAAGTACTGCACTTAAATTCAAAGTCTAGGTATCATAATGAAGAGCTCATCCGAACAATAACCATGAAAGTAGAAAAGGCACAGAGAGGCAAACTTATGGCAGTGGGAAAGTGACTGAAGCCGAGCTACCAGATCAGGACCAATAATATTGCTGATTCTTCTTTGGACTTTATCAAGATGTTAAGGTAAATAGCAGGGGCATCTGACCATGTGCATGGATGAATGGTATATAGATATACAAGATAGCTCTGGAGAGAAAGATTTCTTAGCAGCTGACCTAGCAATAGATTCATTAGTCTTTCAACTTCATGTCTGCTGAGAACATTAGCTCAAGAAGTTGCAACAAGTCATTTTCCTAGAGGTTATCATCAGTCAAGCTGATGGAAGGCAGAGTGGAGTCTCTTAGATGATTAATGGAGAGAAGTTTAGTTTTGAAGGCTTTAAAATTAACAAGCCATATTTGCCCCCATTAACGATAGATTTGAGATTGTTTTGAACATCAGCTGCCAATTTGATTTTGTCAGATTGGTCAGTCTTACTATGAAGGCAGAGTAAATGGTTGTGTCATCATCGTAGATACTAAGTTGAGAGCTGATGTCATTGGGAAAACTGAATTAAATGCATTGACAAAGAAGGAGTTTATGTTGAAAATATTTAATGTGTAAAATAAATAGGTTGAAAAATTATTGCTGTACCTATGTCAATACAATATATCGAGTCATAACTTAATATCACTGTTCCTTTAGAGTATAAAATTTCAAAATAGTCACCCATTTTAAATAATGCAAATCACAATGTTCTATTAGAAAATATTATTCACTATTCATTAATTTTATTAAATTATTCACTCTTCATTAATTTTAAATACGAATCATTGAAAGTAATTTAATTTATAGCTTCAACTCTAGTCATAATTTTTGGGGTTTAAAATTTAAAACAAATTACTAAAGATGCATGGAAATGACAAAGTCTTTTATTTCTTTATTACACTTTCTACTATAAAAAAAGTTTAATTGGTTGAATCTGATGCATCCAATTCACTGTCTTCTCCAATTTCTTCTGATGTTACAGTTACTTCATCATTGTTCTGAAGCTCTGCTTGTTCATCTGTGTATTTTTCCATTATGACCTTGATAATTTTGCACCTGGGGGCATTACAGTTGCATGGAATGCTGTGCTGCTCAGGATTTTCAATGTCATCAGCTGTGATATTCAGATTTTCATCTGTCTGACTATCCTCCTGGACAATGTCCACTGGTACTTCAATGCAAATGTTGTAGTGCCGCTTATTAGCAGTATCCTGGAACAAGGTCAAGTTGCAAGGAATAGAATCATTAGCATCAACGAGCAGAGGTGTTGGTAAAAAGAACACAGTTTGCTTCCAATGGGTCAGCTCTGAATTTGGGGAAGTTGACAGCACCAATTTGCTCTCAGGAACCTTACCATTAGGATCAAGAAACACAACATCAAACCATGATACAAAGCCATGCAAACTGCCTGACTTTTCCATTTTGAAATGAAGTTCTTTGCTGAGAAACTGGACTTCGGACAAAGTCACAGTTTTAAGATCAATGTCAAGGATTTTTTGGGGAGAGGACATGAGTTGATCCTCCTTGACAACTTCAATTATTGGCTGTTTGAAGAATTTTTCCATAGCTAATGGAATAGCAGGTGAAAAGTCAAAACCATAAACATTTTTCCAGAAAGCAAAATGTTCACTATGGTATTTTTTCATTGCAACTGGAGCCATGCACAGGCAGGCATAAGAAGGCAGCATGATGCCGCCGTTAGGGGACAGCCATTTATCACGGGCATAAAGAACAGAATCTAACATTGATTCATGTAAGAGATAAAAGCCCATCCACTCAGAGAGGATAATATCCACATATCGGCAGTTCAAAATAACATCTTCAACAGGCTGTTGAATGACGGTTATCTGATCTTGGAGGTCATTTTGATAGACAATACTTTCACAAATGCTGGCCATATTACTGGCTTCTACAGCATAGACCATTTTTGCCCCAGCCCTAGCAGCAAAACATGAGAGGATGCCTGTTCCTGCTCCCACATCAAGCACAACCTTCCCATTGAATAAGTGCTTATTCTGGTCAATAAACTGCATGTATGATAATGTTCGAGGTTTGTCTTTCAACATCAACTCATGCACAGAAATGTCAACGTAACTGTTAAAATATTCATTGGAACAAGAAGCGCCTGATAATTTCACATTTTGTGATTTATTTTGTGCACATTTGTTGCTGATATCTCCATCTTCAGAATCAGAGGTTGGCTCAAGTTTGACGACAGTGGATGGCATTGAAAATGAATCAACGTCAGGTTCAGAATAATTTTGGTACGGTTTCGTGAGTAAAATATTGGTATTACTCATTCCGAAAGGTAGGGCTGAAAAATAAAAAATAAAACAAAAATTATTACTATTCATTTTGCTGATTTTATTTTATTCTTAAAGAAAAAACAACTAGAAAAAAATCTAAAAAAAACAATACAAATTATTATAAAAAGTGTGTTTAGTTTATTAAGTAAACATAAAAAATATTTTTTTTAATTTTCAACATTAATTTTATTGAACAACATTTACTTTTTTGTCTCATTATCTTCGGTCATCTTACTGTCAACTTAATAATTCTGTCCTTGGTGACATTTTTATTTTTCTTAGCAAAAAACTATATTTGTACTCTTTTTGCAAGACTTGCAAAGAATTTGTAGTAAGTCCCAATAAAAATAAAATATATAAACAAAATAAAAAGAATTAAAATAAGGCATTTGCACTTTCCTTTAAAACCTTTCTCTCTTTTATTTCTCTTCTCAACCTATGAGAAGGCAACCCTCAAATAAAAAAAAAAGGAAGAAGAAAAAACTGAACCTAGCCAAAAACACTGGAAGTTGGTGGGAACAGAGCCTACTTATTTGTGACTGAAAAATACCTAAAATCAGGGATGCTCCACAGATAACTTCCATTATAAAAAAATTAAAGGAACACTGGAAAATAAAATAGTTTGGCCAATCAAAAAAATTGACACATTAGTGCTACCATCAGATGGGAACAGAACAACAACAGGAAAGGACAAACAAAAGGACACAGCTACATTTCTGCTTTGTTTCTGGGCCAAAAAGAGCACAGTAGATTGACACTGATCTAATTTCTCACACTACTACTACCTCTATCATGGTCTTACTTCTAAACAATCATTAACAGACATTTCTACAGACTGCTATTATTATTAACAAACTTTTTGCTATGCTGAATATCAAAGGACTCCCTCATCAGATGTGAACCCATATGCCACAAATCAATATTTTTTTTGTGAAGGGAATTCTGTAAATACCAGAATACAATATCTGGTGAATATAGGAACTGAGTAAAAACAGCTAAACAGTAACAATATTTTGTCAGGTTACCAATGAAACATGTAGTCTAGTATTATCCTGTAATATATATTTTCTCTTTGTTACCTTGAAATAGTCTAATTGGGAACTGTGAAAGGAGCTTAAAGTAGAGGGCTCTCTTTGAATCCTACTAGATACACATTATCACCTTCTTTGGATGAATAGTAGTCTTTGATACAGCTGGTAGTAGATTGTTTCAATTGCTCCATGTTCTCTTGTAAAATATTCACATTTTAACACCCATCACATTTTTCTTTTAGAGAGAGAACATTTAAATAGGAATCAGTAGGATTTTTGCTTATTTAATACAACAATCAAATTGATGAAAATGGCATTTAATATTTGATTTGAATATTTGTTAGCCATCTCTCTCACATTGTATAATATTATTCTCATATAAGGTTTTGATTTTATTAACCACAAGTAATTTAGTAATTTAGTTGGGTGTAGAGTATCACTCAGCTAGAAATTTCCAATATATAACTTTTCATTTTGATCATTCCCAATACTTTCTCTATAAACTGCACAATTTTTTTTGAGTTGCCTTTTTATATTTCTTAAAGAAATGCTATAAAAAAAGATATTACTTATTTTCTTTCCTTTGTAGTGGTGTATACCAAGCAGATCTGTTGATGCTATGAGAACAGAAAAACTTGCAAGGTGTGAGGATAGGATTAATGTCTACCAATTTTTATTTATATCCAGAGAAGTACACATACAGATGAAAGGTGAGCATTAGACTAAAGTAGTGTTGCTAAATATTTATGAAGAGAAATATGAGCCTATCTCTTTAGGGTAAATTACTGTAATGTAATACAGGCAAAACACGAGAACACATACACACACAGTATGTGCATAACATAATTCTGACCAGAGAACCATGTAAAGCACAGTAAATATCTACAGCCTTCTTCAATTACTCTCATATTGAGGTTTTATGAATTAAATTAGATACATTTTTTTATACTGAACAAAAAACATGTTCCCGATATTACTTATTGTCACATCAATTTAATAAAAAGAAAGGTTGTAAAAATTTCTAAATTTATGAATCAAATATGCATAGATTACTTATTATCAGCAATTGTTAGACAATTAATATTAACTGTGAAGCAAATGCTTATCTTTAGTCAGCATAGGCTCTCTGCTCTAAACGAATACTAACTTTGTAACTATTTACACTATTTACATTGTTTGGACTGATGTCCTAATCTTTATTATCCTATTCACAATATTTCAGCCATTGTACACACCAGCCTTCTTCAGGTGACTGGAATTTCAAACCAAACCCTTTATTTCATCCACCAGGGTAGATTGTTCTAGCTCCAGGTGCTATGCCTCCTCCGGATATCTCAGCTTCAGTTATTTCCTTTTAGTAACTCAAGTTTTTTGTTCACCTCTGCTGTGGCTAGGTATTAAACTTTTTGGGTCAAGTCACTGGATTACTTCAACCAACACTTACCAACAGGACAAAAAGATGAAGACAACAGTTTGAAAAAAATTAAATAATATAAATTGATAAGCTTCAATAGCTTCCAAAAGATTTCTCAATTTTAATAGGTTTTGTAAAATTTGTCATTACCTTGAGAAGAGAATAAGATATCAATGTTTACTAACATATCCTACTTTTGGTCATCTAACATATGTCAGATTTTTACTGTTACTAATGCACTTAATATGCAGGTAGTATAACAGATATTGAAATGAAAATTGGAATCAGCAAACCTAGTTTAAATTCCTGGCTAGACCATTGTATTCACTTTTGCATAAATACTCTTAGGAAAAGCATGAAACCATCTCTTCTCCCCCAGCTATGAGTTAAATAGCAGGGTAGACTGGGTTCTTTAGCTTTATGTGGCAACCAGTTTAAGAGAAGAAAAAATTCTAGATTTCAAAATTGATCCATACCTATTTTTTCAATAACTAATGAAAATCATCATTAATAAAAATTATTTAATTCCAGGAAAAGATACCTAGTCTTGGTTTAATTCTTAATATTGAAATTATAACCATGGACAAGTATACAATATATACATTCTAAGTATGTGCATTTGTAAAATGATCATTTATTGCAACATTGGAAATGTTGCTTCAAACAGAATTTGATTTAGTAAAATATAGATTAGAATCCTAAAAGTGAAAAAAAATCTTTCTTTCCTTGTTCTCTTTTGGTGTAATCTACATATTAACAACATGCTGCTTGTTCATAGTTAAGATGTTGTGTTTTCAGTATTGTTCTTATGCAATGCTAAAATTCATTGACTATTGTCTGATATTGCCTTCAGATTCAATTACATCATTAGAAATGGAAAAAAAATACATGTAAAAGACAGTACTGAAAAGAAGTCTCTTACCACCAAATATATATGATGTTTGATCATTTGGCCAGATTTTTGGAACTGTGTTGAGAATTTTTCAGCAGCTGCTTGTATATACTAATCAAAGCCTTGTCAATTAGTTGTTTTTTTTTATATAAATACACAAATAATTTCAGAGATGAGATGGTTAACAATAAGACAGTACTTAAGGGTTGGATTTATGCTTTTTTGTTAACACAAAATGGCACAAACAATTAACCAGAATTTGAAAATATTTTTCTGTTCATTGCTTTCTGATATGCTAATGTAAAATGAGGGTTTTACATTCCCCAAAGAAGAGCAAGATTACTCCACACCCCACCCCACCCCATCCCAGCACATACAACTTATTAATAGCAAGACACAATTCCAGAATGCAATCAAACGTAAACAGAACATAAACATTGAGGAGCTGATATTAACATACCAGCAAACAATATTTCATAAACAGTGAAGCAGTTTACCAGATTATATACAGCTTTACAAAGAAATAAAAAACAAACAGATGCACCTCTCAAGACATATGTCAAGTGCAAAACGTAGACATTATAGCAACCACAGATTGAAAAGTTGGATAGTCATAACAGAATAGGTATTAAAAGTTTGATGAATAAAAGAAATAGCTGATTGACTGACTTGTAAAAGACAGCAAAATGCTGCCAGTCTGCTGCTCTGTGAGTCTGTTTTGAGGGTAGCAACATTAAATACAAAACCAGATACAGGAATGGGGTCAAAATTTTGTTGCTATTTCTATATTTAGTCATCAGTAGTCATGTAGATGATATATCAGTGTAAAGGTATGGAAAAAGAGGATGTGAAAAAAAAATTGTATATATTCTTCAGACCCCTTTATTTATTGTTGCAAAATGAAACAGAAAAGGATGATGCAATGTAAAAATGAATAAGGAGAAGTGTGTGGATGTATATATCTGTAAGCCATGATGCACATCAACACTCACACGTTTTATTAATAAATGTGATGCTTATGAAGCATTAGTTAACTGACCTACAGATCAATGCAGGCACAGGTGGACAATAATGTCAATATACACATAATTGCACAGCTGATATCAACATAAGAATATCAAATGACATGACACAGATTTAAATTGTATCAGGTGAAAGAAAAAATGTGCACAACAGATTAGTTAAAAGTAATTGCAACTTATACACAACAACCAGATGTAAACATAGAAAATAAATCTTAAAAATTAATTAAAACAAGAAATTTTATTTTTTAAATTTTCTATTTGTTATATTTAGGCACAAATTTTCAAAAGAAAAAGATAAAAAACATTAAAATTCCTGAGATGCCCTGACCACTTGCATTGTTCAGATATTCAGCCATGGAAAATCTAAAGTGCATTTTAGCAATTTAAGAATAGAATAATGATTTGTAGATTGCAATATATTATTAATAGTTAGAAAAAATAATTTATGCATTTATGAATATTCCTTTTCTGTTTCGCTAATCATCTCTGCTCAACCATTACATATTGAAATGTTCGGGTTGTAATAAATATAACAATATAATTAATGGTTTTAGCAAATGTATTTAAACAATCTAGAAAGTTTGATCTTAGCAATAATCTCATCTTAATTAGAATCATTATTAAATCTAAATAATAAAAGAATTTG